GAAGCTGCTCCATCGTCCCTTCTGGGCCTCCGTACATGTGTGGTGGTGACTGTGTCTGCAGAGACTCTGTCCTCTGATTGGATTTTACTGTTCTGCTTTGTTCTTAAACGAGGGTGAACCTTGTGTTGTCTTTTACCTGTGGACGTGGAGTTGTCTACTTCCTGTTGACAGGCAGGTGACAAACACCGGCGGTTAGCGGTTAGCTGTGTAGCTACAAGCAGTAAACGTTCACACTACATCCTGCAGTGAGCTTCTGATGAGGAGGAGGGGCCCAGTTTGAATATACAAGCTGCAACCAACAATGCTACTCAATCCACCTTTAACAAAAGTAATTTGAATGATAATAATACCAAAATAAATCTTTATTTATATAGCACCTTTAAAAACAAATGTTTACAAAGTGCTGTGACAGATAAAGCAAAAACACAACAGAACAGAGATCAACAGAGAGGGCAAAATTGTAAAAATGCAAATAACAGGAATGATATGGAGTCAACAGGCAGGTATGGAGAGGCAGTTCAGTACAGTGAAGGAAAATTAGATTAAAATCAATCAGGAGAGAACCAAATGAAAATTGAGGGAGAGTGGGAGGACATCACATCACAGGCTGTAAACACAGAATGAAGATAAAAAGAAGAGATAAACAGGACATCGGTTAAATGAATAAAGAAACAGAGAGCTGAAGAGTTAAACGATAAAAGGAGGAGGAATTTAAAAAGACTATTAATACAGGAAGGGAAACATTTAAAGGTTAAAACATTTAAAGAAGAGAAAGATACAAAGGTTAAGAGCAATACAATTAATAAAAGGAAGGGATAGGAAGGAGAAATCACATAAATTTAGGGTTGAGATTATAAAAATTTGGCAGAAATGGAATTAAAACATAATTTTTTCTATCTTTCATGGTGCAGCTTTTATACCCGGAGTGATCTGAGTTCATGTGTCGCTCGTGTTTCTGCCTTCGTAAACTGTCACAATCAATTACTTCTCATCCACACATCCGCCAATTAATGTGTGTGCAGCTGTGTGTGTGTGTGTGTGTGTGTGTGTGTGTGTGTGTGTGTGTGTCATCATCAGACAGCTCCCCTGCATGTGTCGTCTGTGTGAGCGATGAAATGTAGGTTATTTCTTCCATTCCAGTGGTTTCTGGGGCAGCCTTGCCGCAGGGTTGATTTCTGCTGCTGGTGTGCGTGTCAGTCTGTGTGTGTGTGTGAGTGTGTGTGTGTGAGTGTGTCTGTGTGTGTGAGTGTTTGTGTTTTTAATAATGCAACGAGCTGCCACAGTCTCTTTAGACTGTCCATCTCTGGTACAGATACCTGAGCACACAAACACTTCATCACGGCCTCAAGTCAAAGCTGTTCTCTGACAGAAGGAGAAAACAAAAAGAAGTTTCTCTTTTCTTTAATGGAGTCTCTGGTTGAAACAGAAGCTTTTAAGTAAGCTTTTTTAAGGCTTTGGGCGTTTTCCTTCTTTTTTTAAGTGGCCGTGTTAGAGCTTCAGAAGAAGAAGAATTTCTCTTTATTTTTGAAATACACTGCCGAACGTCTGTGAACTGAAGCAGCTTCCAGTGAGCTCCCTCTGGACCTGAAAGGAGACACAAGCCTCGCTCAAATCTCCTGAATGAATCCTGAAGTTTTCAGGATGAGCTGCATGTGTAAATATTTCACTCGCACTTTATCCGGCTACATATTGTTGTTGGTACTGAAGCTGACAGTGTGTGTTTGTGTGTCTGTGTGTGTTTGTGTGTCTGTGACAGGTCCTGCAGAACATCCTGGAAGCAGAGAGTGAATATTCGAGGGAGCTGCAGAGTCTGCTGGGTTCATACCTGCGCTCGCTTCACCCCACAGACAGGTGAGCTTATTTTTAGACCTCTGTTTTATTAATCAGGTCCTACTGTCTTTACACACACACACTGTAACACACACTTTATATGAAACATACGTCAGGTACCAGGCGTGTAAAGTGCTGCGTTGTTATTCTCACAGGTTATTTATTCCTGCTTCTGATTATTCATCTTTATTTTATGCCTTCAGGTTTCTCTCACTGTTTTTGATATTATTTTATTATTTGTAAATGTTATAAAGTATTTACACACAATATTAGATTTTTATCTGTATGAACCTTAAAAAAATCATCTGTTAAATATTAAAGTCATACCTAAAAATATAAACCATCATATTAATGAGAGTAAAAGCCAAAGAACTTTATTAAATAATGAACGACTCCTCACTCTGATCCCCTCCTCCTCCTCCTCCTCCTCTCTCTCCGGTCTCCTCCTCACTCTGATCCCCTCCTCCTCCTCCTCCTCCTCCTCCTCTCTCTCCGGTCTCCTCCTCACTCTGATCCCCTCCTCCTCCTCCTCCTCCTCCTCCTCCTCCTCCTCTCTCTCCGGTCTCCTCCTCACTCTGATCCCCTCCTCCTCCTCCTCCTCCTCTCTCTCTGCTCTCCTCCTCATTCTCATCTTCATCTCTCTCTGGCCTCCAAATCCTTCTCCTCCTTCTCTCTCTCTGGTCTGGTCCTCACTCCTCCCCTTCTCCTCATCTCTCCTCTTCTCCTCCTCCTCTTCCTCCTCCTCCTCTCCTCCTCCTCCTTCTCTTCCTCCTCCTTTCCTCTCCTCCTCCTCCTCCTTTTCCTCCTTCTCTTCTGTCCGGTCTGGTCCTCACTCCTCCCCCTTCTCCTCGTTCTCTTCCTCGTCCTCTTCCTCCTCCTCCTCGTTCTCGTTCTCCTCCTCCTCCTTCTCCTCGTTCTCTTCCTCCTCCTCCTCCTCCCTTCTCCTCCTCCTCCTTCCTTCTCTCCTCATCCTCCTTCTCCTCCTTCTCCTCCTTCTCCTCCTCCTCCTCCCTTTCTTCCTCCTTCTCCTCCTTCTCCTCATTCTCCTCCTCCTTCTCCTCCTCCTCCTCCTCCTCCCTTTCTTCCTCCTTCTCCTCATTCTCTCGTTCTCCTCGTTCTCTTCCTCTCCTCCTCCTCCTCCTCCTCCTCCTCCTCCTCTTCCTCCTCCTCCTCTCTGCAGACTCACCAGCGTCGACATCGGTCACATTCAGGGAAATCTGGAGGAGATCTCGACCTTCCAGCAGATGTTGGTTCAGTCGTTGGAGGAGCACACAAAGTCAGTACAGCCATCTTTAAAAACACAACACGACACACTGTAGAGGCTGGAGTATAAGTCACACCGGTTTATAAGACACAGTCTGTTTTTGGAGGATCTGTGTGATCATTTCTGTGTTCAGTTATGTTTACAACGAGAAGTTCCTCTGCAGCTGTGTCGCTCTCTTTACTGTTTTTTAGTCGGAAATGTCTCAATAATTGTGTCTTTATCTTCTTATCTTTCTTATCTGAATTAATGTAATATTTATGCAAGTCTTCTCTTTTATGACTCCACTCCAAAAGACCAAACGATCCAGCAATCAGTCGAGGAAAGAATAAATGAATCATGAAAACCTTGAGTTCAAATCATACTGTGTGTGTCTGTCGGTGTTACAGAGCATCGTCTGTCTGATGACCTGCTCGTGTAAACATCCTGTTTAACTAAACGCACATCCTCCAGAGTCTCTGCAGAACAGACGGAGGCTCAGACATCTTTATTATGTAGTTATTAGAGCAAGAGAGACATCTAGTGGTAGACGGGCTTGTTGCCTTGACTGGACAGGACAGTGGATGGAGTAGGAAAGCAGACACACAGAGAGAGAGAGAGATTTGCAGTTATCATCCTGTTTAATGTGTTGTTTGTGTGTGTGTGTGTGTGTGTGTGTGTGTGTGTGTGTGTGTGTGTGTGTGTGTGTGTGTGTGTGTGTGTGTGTGTGTGTGTGTGTGTGTGTGTGTGTGTGTGTAGACTTCCAGAGAATCAGCAGAGGATCGGAGGTTTCTTCCTCAATCTGATGCCTCAGATGAAGATCATCTACGTGGCGTACTGCTCCACCCACCCGTGTGCTGTCAGCGTCCTCACACAACACAGGTAACAATGTCACAAATGCATGAATTGAAAACCCACACACACATCTTAAATTTTTTTATACTTTATTGCAGGCTGTTTTACTTCATTACAAGTTGTCATATTTCATCACAAATTTGGTTCATCCTGGCACATTTTTAGATATAATTATTTTTTTTTAAACATACAAAAATATAAACAAGAATACAACATAAAATAAAATAAAAACAGATAAAAATCCAAAGAAAAGGTACGAATAGAGAAAAGATTTAATTAAGATTAGAGAAGAAAAAATAATACTAATAATAATTAAAAATAATACTAATAATAATTTAAAAAAATAATAAAAATAATATAAAACTGTAAATAGAATGGGGCGGGGGGGGGGTGTTCCTTCACTACTCTCTTAATTTAATATAATTTAATTTACATACCTCTTATTATTCCACTTTATCTCTTTCCTTTATCCATTTACTCCAGTAACACATGAATTCATCTTCTCTGTTTCTTTATGTAATTCTTTCCATTTCTTTAATATCTTCCACTGTTTACTTCCACGCATTAATACACACACATCATTAATGTGAGTGTGTGTGCTGCTTTATTTTATGTGTGCGTCACAGTGAGGAGCTGGGGGAGTACATGGAGTCAAAGGGGGCGCCCACTCCGGGGATCCTGACTCTGACCACCAGTCTGAGTAAACCCTTCACTCGACTGGAGAGATACCCGACGCTGCTCAAAGAACTGGACAGACACATGGAGGTGAGCTGTCCGTCCGTCTGTGTTAATATCAGAACAATAACATTAATGCTGGAAACATAAATAAATAAATCAGACCTGCACTTAGACACATAAATAAAAATAACACAACAGAGTAAAGAGGGTTTCTTTTGACGATCTGACTCTCTGTGCACGATCTCAGAAACTGTTTTTAACTTCTGTGTTTTCTTTTCTTTGTTGTAGGAGCAGCACCCTGACAGAGCCGACCTCCTTGCTGCTCTTTCAGCCTTTAAAGACTTTGCAGTAAGCGTTTTTAGATCTCGGTCATTCTGTGTCAATTTACAAGCTACCAGTGAATTTTGAGATCCTTCTGGTTTCGATCATGCTCACAGGATTTGACAACCTGTTTCTGTACCTTTTTATATATATATATATAATCATATATGTGTGTGTGTGTGTGTGTGTTCAGGCTCAGTGTCAGGATGTGAGGAAGAAGAAGGACCTCGAGTTGCAGATTTTAACCGAACCAATCAGAAACTGGGAGGGCGATGACATCAGAGCCCTGGGCCCCGTCCTCCACATGTCCCAGACCACCGTCCACACGCAGAACTGTCAGGTACTCAGCACAACGTCCCACATATCTCAACCACACATCCATCCATCAGTCAGGTTTCATAGAACTCGTTTCATTTTGTCTTTCAGGAGTCAAACGAGCGATACCTCGTCCTGTTTCCTCACACTCTGCTCATGCTCTCTGCCAGTCTGAGGATGAGCGGATTCATCTATCAGGTACGTCAACCCCATGTGATGATCTCTGATTGTGCATGCTTCACTTGCACCCTCATACCATCTTTATAGAAAGCATGCAAATCTGCAAACGTGCACGTTATTTATGAATTTATTTAAAGTGTTTTTAACCAGGAGAAGAGAAGAACTTGATCTCAGGCAGCAGCTAGAGCAGCAAGATAAGAGACATACAACACAGATCAGCATATCCTGAGTCACAGAGCCGAAAAGTCATCAGTCAAAGCATCTCCCTCCAATACCTTCAAACTACTTTTTAAAGATTTAAAGAGACCAGAGATCATCCTGCAGGAGCAGCAGACCTGAAACTTCTGTTCAAGATGCCCGCATCAGCAAATGTTTTCTGTCTCCGCAGGGGAGGATACCGCTGTCAGGAATACTGATATCCAGAATAGAAGACGGAGATAACCTGAAGAACGCTTTTGAGATATCAGGTCAGCTCTCTCTCTCTCGCTCTCTCTCCCTCGCTCTCTCTCTCTCAGCTCATTGTTGAAGCCTGCTCTTCTATGTCTTCATTTTGTATGCAGGTGCAGGTGGTCAGTGCGAGCGGATGCAGGTTGCTTGTAACAATCAGCACGATCTGCAGGACTGGCTGGACCTCCTCACAAAACACACACACACTCCGGCTGTGCACACACACCCGCACAAGCCTCAGTCTGTGTGTCACACAGTGAGTCTGCAGGATCTCTAAACTATGACTCATGATCCAGTTTTCTCTGCGGCCCCGCTCACTTCCTCTCCTTCTGCTCCTCGTAGCTGCCCTCTCAACCCGTCACTCCGTCCAGACACTCAGAGTCTCGAGGAGGCAGCGGCTCAGGAAACAACTACCACACACTCCCCCATCCATCTTCACTCGGCACCACACACACCAGCAGCAGCAGTCCGACGTGGGGGCCCCTGGAGCCTCCGAGCACGCCCAAACCCTGGAGCCTGAGCTGCCTCCGCCCTGCGCCTCCTCTCCGGCCCTCTGCTGCGCTCTGCCAGAAGGAGGTGCTGCACACCAACATACCATCATAAGCATACTCAGTCTTTTTAATGTTACCTCCAGGACATGTGAGGTTGTTTACAAAAACATATCTAAAGACTTGTTCTGCTGCGTCAGAATTAAAGCTGTTGTGTGTTTTTAGGATCTGAGTAAAAGTCCAAAGAACATGAAGAAGCTGCTCCCAAAGAGGAAACCAGAGAGGAAACCTTCAGAGGAGGATTTCTCAGTCAGAAAAAGTGAATATGCAAAACAGAAAATACAGAAAATACACTCAGTGAAGGAAGATATTTATATTTTTTTAAAGCTTTTCTTAAAGTCTTAAACTTTTGTAGCTGAAACTGTTCTGTCCTCAGTCGTCATCAGCTGTTCTTCAAGGTTGCAATGTAGACGACTTTCCAATATGTCTGCCAGTCGGAGTATTGTTATCTGTTTTAAACGTTACTTTCTCTCTTCCTGCTCCCTCTCTCTGTCTCAGGTACGGCCGCTCTGGAGGAAGACGCTCAGATTCTGAAGGTGATCGAAGCGTACTGCACGAGCGCAAAGACACGACAGACTCTCAACTCCAGTGAGTACACACACACACACACACACACACACACACACACACACACATCACATACATACTAACACAGCGCTAACTGTCTTAATGCTAACCGCTGTTTGTTCTCTGCTGTCGGCTCTAATGACGTTTTCTCTTTTTCTTCCTCTTTTGTTTTTCATTACCCTTCCTTACACCAACACTTCTTTTATTCCTCAACTTTTACTTTGCTTTCCCATAATTCATCCCTCACACCTCATTTTCCTTTCATTCTGGGTTGTTTTTTGGGTCAAACCCCTCCCCGTAAAAATATATTTTTTTCATCCCAAACCTTTATTTATTTCATCAACATGGTTTCTTCTCCTCCCGTCCTCCCCTGCAAACATTACATTTGATTTAACCCCGACCCCCCGTGCATTCACTCTACGGTCCAGCCTGGCAAGGGACTGACCTCATGCACAACCACGTGCTCGCTGACACCAGCCTCACTGTCACGGGTAACCCTGGTAACCCGCCGTGTTCTGACCAATCAGAGGACTCCGATTATGACAGTATCTGGACGCCACTAGTTACAGGACGCCTCGTTTTCTCGTAAGATAT